ACGTTATTGTTAAAAGAGAAACGGCTATCTCGAGACGGCACAGCCCATACAAGCAATCGTGTCGTTCACTGATGTCGATCCTTCGAAAGCATCCTCTCCTGCCTAACAAGCCCAAACACGATCTGTTGGTAGAGGAATCTACTTAAAAATCCTACGACTCCGCGGAAAGCGGTGTGCTGATGCAGCCGAATTGGCCGCAACACCCACCACTTCTGGCTAGAAAAATGCAGCAGAGGTTCGGGGACGCACCCGCAATGAGCTTTCGAATTGCCCCGCACGGCTCGGACATTTTGCGGTATCCCGAGCGGCGCCGAGAAGATCATGATCTCCTAACAATGACTGAAACTAAGCAGTTTCAACCATTGTTATGAGATCGCATTCCCAGCAGCTCGACCAAGTGCGGTGATCCGGCTTCGACGCACCGTCGAACGACACCCGCATCTCGCGCGTTTTTCGATCTAAAATGTCGCCGACTGGGCTCCTCCATAGGTGAATCGTACCCGTGGCAGGTTGCATGTCTTTGGCAAATCGTTACATATGAGAAAACAAACTGATAGTGATTGGGTTGAAAGGCTTTGTCACTCTCCGTACTCGATTTCCCTCTCACGGAGAAATTACCTTAACTTGCTATTGGTATAGTCACGAAGATTTTCGCAGTCGCGCTACAGCACTTGAGAGCTGCAAAGATTTGCTTTTAAGGCCTCATAGGAAGCGTAAGATACGGAACACTAGGAGATAACTGGACCCAGGCCATTCAGTCAGCCGACATTGCGGTGGGTCGATATCTGCTTACTTATCGATAATGGGCGGTACCGTCAGAAATTGTGAGGGCAATTCATAGGGAGGGGCGCACCCCATATATGTTCCCGATCTATCATCTGAAAAACGGCCTTTCAGTGGGGTAGCTATCCCAGATTGGTGCCGAAAGTGGATGTAGAAATCCCGATCTGAGTGGGCCAAGCCGGGTGGGGGGGGGGGTGGCCAGGTGGGCATGCTGACCGTTCGATTATTGAAAAGCTCGGAGCCTATGGCTAGGAGCGATGTGGGGCCGGTCCCATTCGGGGGAACCTGGTTCGGAGT